GCTGACTGTTGCCCAGACACTTGGTTCTCAACGGTATCCCTACTTGGAGATGCAATGTAACTACGACAACTTACTCGTGGCTTGCATCTATAACTAAAGGAGCCAGTTTCTCAATCGCAGGGTCCTGGGTTGTTGGGGACGGAGGAACTGGAGCCCACTATACAGGTCGCTGGGCTTCTACGGTAGTATATGTACAGTTCTAGTTGACTATGTTTTTTGAATGGGGACACTACAGTCCCCAATCTGGAGTAGGATTTCAAAGTCGTTGTCAGCAGAATACCTAGTCACTAGTCAAACGAAGATGACCCACCACCAATTACTCAGCTCTAAATCCTACACCGTACATACCTAGTTCAGCCAACAAATAAACAACCCTCACATGATTTACAGGTAGGGTGTAGCAATTATGGCGTTGGTTTCTTAAGCAACTACCGCATAAGCAGGGAAACAATGTAGAGAACATTTCGGATCGTGCAAGGGCAGGTTTTTCCCCAGGTTATTGGGGTTTGTGCCTAATCCCTTCATCCTAAACACGAAACCTTAAACCCCAAAACCCTAAAACATAATTAACACGGGGATCCCTGCGCAGTCAAGGTCAGAAACCCTGAGCTTGCTGTCACGACGCTAGGGTGTTACCTCCGCGAATATGCGGAACCTGATACAGGCCTTTTTGTGGATGACTGTCCTAAACCCTAAGCCCGTTTCATGCTTGTTTGGGGGGAGGGCACTCGAATCCCAACCCAAACGCAAAACTCTACAAGGTCCAACAGCTGCCCTAGGTCTTGTCGCTTTCAAATAGGGCCAGAAGGAACGGTAGGAACGCTATATAAAAACAGGGTTTCGTGCTGATGGTTTGGAATTTATCCTTTTATTTAGGAGATTGTGGTGATTATTTTAGGGATGTTTGTGGGCTTTACAACACGCATGCGTACGGAAGTGTATAGGGAGTATGGGAGGGATGCCTTCCTATCGTCGGCATGTTTACCCTTTCTTTCTAAGCATTAGGGTTGCTCTAGGTAGGTTGTAGGGTCCTAGACCCCAAGCCCTCAACCCTAAAACCAAAGCCCTATGTCCCCAACCCCAAACCCTACGCCCCCGAGAGTCCCATTAATCGCTCAAGAGCCTTCTTTGAAACCCTCAACTCTCAAGAGCCTTCTCTCAAACCCTAAACCCTCAAGAGCTTTGTCTGAACACCTGAACGTTCAAGAGCCTTATTGGAAACCCTAACGCTTCAAGGGCCTTATTTGAAACCCTAACGCTTCAAGAGCCTTATTTGAAACCCTAAGCCACCGCTTCAGGGCATGAAGTGGAATTGGCGGTGTCTCCGATTGGTGGGATGAGGCCAGCATAGACGCACAGGGGATGGTGTACAAGGATGGGCTTACAAAATCGGGTCTAGGGTTTTGGATGTAAGGTTTAGGATTTAGGTTTCAGGTTTAGGATTTAGGGTTTAGAGTTTAGGGTTTAGTGTATCAACCCCTTCATACTGCCTCGGCTCTCCCTTTATTAGCTTTAGTGAGCCCTACATGCCCAATGAAGGAGGGCTTTTTGGGGCGGTAGAGATGGTAGGTAGTAGGAAACCCATAATAAGGGGTTCAGCCAGTAGGGCTCATGGGGTAGGGTTTCGAGATTGGGGTTTGATGATGCGGGTGATTGCTCCGCTGAGCCAGAACGGCCTCCAGAGGTGGGACAACACATCCAGTCCAAGATGTCTACATTGATTCTGCCCTAACTGCAACATCAACTTTGGTACCTCGTTTGCAAGGGAATTGCAACTTACGACATCTTGAGCACGTTGGATGCTGGAAGCCTGAAGCCCTTAACCCTGATTCAGAAGGCTGTGAAGAGCCAGCTGTCTGGAGAGATTGTTGTAAACATCTGCTTACACTCCTGGAAACTAACATGGAAACCCAAAAGGGGCCCTTTAAAGACTGCAGTCCCTCCAATTTGGGGCCATATGGGTTTCCATGTTAGTTTGGGGGAGTGTACATCTTAGAAAATTGCCTTCCAGGAATGCCGGAAATGCTTGGAAGTTGTCCTACAATGCTGGAGGTCACAGAACGTGTGTCATCAATCGACCACCGGTGATGTGGCAGATCACTACTGGCGCCCATGCGGCGAAGGGCTTCATTCCCTAAGGGTCCAAGGTTTCAAATAATGGTGTTCGAGGTCCCTAATACCATTGAGATTATAGTATTTCGGCCCTAAACCCCATTATCTGAGTCCGTGGACCCTTAGAGATTGCGTCTCGAGTTGATCTAGGATACTTCGGGCCAGGTGGATTCACAGCACTTTTCACGTGATGAGCACTGGACATAAGGAAGAGGCATTCTTCGAGAGCGGCGTCATCAGATCGCAAGATGTAAGCGGAAAGGGTTTCGATGAGGGTGATGATGTGTGGGGCTTGGAGGTTTTATTGAATTTCTACACGGGTGTCCGTTGGGTATTGCATGGGATATTGCAGGACCACCCTTCCCAAACAAGCATGAACCCGACATGACCCTCTGTGGAGTTCTTTCATGATGTGAGCCATTGTCGATATCAGGCTTACCAGGAGATTGTTCATGCCAAGGGTGGACATAGGGGTTCTGTTGGTATTGTCATTACATCATAAAAGATTTTCCCTTAGAAGGAACCCTTGTTCACTAATTATATGGCAATATCCCGAAGCCCTCAGCCTTAAATACAACAGTAGTATTTATTGCATTGTCCAGTTGTTTGTCCGTTTCATTTTCCATTGATGACTTATAATTATATGGGAAGTACTGATTGTAGCTCATGTGATTAAGGGGAGTTGGGATTAGGGCTGATGCTATAGGGTGAAGAGATTCAGACGAGGATGGTTCAGCATACATGTCGAGTTCTAGGGTTTAGGCCGATGATAAGCAGCAAACACTGGATTGTTAGGTAAATATTTAGTGAGACTAACGGAGGAGGGTTGGGATAAGCATATACAGCATGTAGATGTTAGGTTGTGAATTTGACTCCGAGTATATCACAGCCCCGAATACATCGGGTCCCCGCATAAAAAGACACCTGGCGCAGGTGCCCGAAACCTCCCAGTTTTCCCTGAACTTTCCATTTTCTAGTCCATATGACTCTCCAGTCCGGGGTAATTAGTATCCCTGAGCCCTCTAGAAGTCTCATCAACCTTACAATCCTTAAGTCCCTACATAGTTCTCAGATGATCTAGTTGTGGAGAGTAATGGCTTACCTCGGATGTAGCGGGTACCAAAGTTGAAATGTCTTGGTAGCAACCTTAAGAAAAAGGATGTAGGGTTTAGAGTTTAGTGTTTAGGGCGCTACCTTAGACCCTAAAACCCAAACCCTGTCCACGCATGCTTTCGGCCACAGACGGAAGCGGACATGACAGCCCATGCCCCTTAGCAGATTCGTGTCTGTAGATGCACATCGGCATAATGAGTTCAGGGCTTAGGGTTTCCGAACTTTAACCTAAGTTTCCTAATAATCATAACCCATAACCTTACCCAAAACCTGCACTATAACTACTATTACTCAAGACCCAAGTACTTAATTATTGGGTACATGGACCTTTTTGGTTAGCTTACAAGCACACCCGCCTAGTCAATCAGCAGCCTGATGCTGCTAGGACGGTGACTCATTGCAAATTCTGCCCCCTTACGAAGATTGGATAACTACCCTTTAGTATGGCCCGAGTACCAACTTTTTGGGATCCTGTCCTAGCCCGATTAGAAAGAACTTGGAGGGGGTATAGCTGCAGGCGTACCTTGTAATGGTCCTAGAAGACTAACTCATGAGGGGGCTAACTGAGGTCTACGAAGGTTTTTCGTATAATGCCACCCATCTACTTACTATCTACCTACCTCCCTAAACCCTGATCTATATCCGGAGTAGCCTTAGCCTTAGACCATTAAGCAAGGTACCTCTACCCAAAAAATCAAGTACGAATCTCTCTATGACTACATCGGCTCCTTTAGGTAGATCTGAGACCCTAACCTAAACCCCAACCGCAAAACCCAAACTCTGAAACCTAAACCCTGAACACCACACCCCCATGTCCAAAACCCGTCTTTGAAGCCTAAACCCTAAACCGCTTGAAGCAGCTTCTTTGAGGGGCCTGGCTGGCTACCATAGCTCTGTGCTCATAGCCGGGGAGGCCGGACGTGTTTGTTCTTTGTTCCGGGCTCAGGGATTGGGCCCAAAATGCGCCGAGGGTCCTTTGGGATACGTAGGTTTGGGGATTGGGGATCGACCATTAATAGGGCTTGGGGGTGGGATGGCGGATCAGGGTTTGGGACCAGGAATCAGGACTTATAGTGACTAGAGTTTTGGGGCTTTGAGGTCTAGGGGTTTGGAGTTTGGAGGTTGGTGATCATAGCTTAGGCCTGTAGGCTTGGTCAGGGATGAGGGGTTTAGGGTGGAGTGGATTAAGATTCAGGGGTTTCAGGTTTAAGGTTTAGGATTTAGGGTGGAGGGGATTAGGCTTCAGGGCTAGTGGCCACAGTTTTGAGGCTTCGGGGTACGCAGGGTCTAGGGAGTTGCGGTACCCCAAACCCTGAATCATGAATCCCAAAAAATCCCAAAACCTGAAACCGTAAACCCTAAGGGGTAGTTCTCAGAGTTTGGCTTTGGGTTTAAAGGTTTCAGGTTTCGGGATCAGGGTTAGGGCTTAGGGCTGAGAGTTTAGGGTTTAGGGTAGGGCTTAGGGGTTGGCCGCCCTTGCCCTAAATTACGTTGTACCGTTTAGGGGTGAAGATAAAAGCCCTAGGAACCAAAAAGCTTGAACTTCCACTGGCAGCTTTTTGAAACTATTCCCGAGCAATCCTCGCTTGGGTAGTAATCCCCAAATCGGACCTATAGCCAAGGGGGCCCATAATTTGAGAGCAACCCACTTACGCAGAGAACCAGTAATTTCGTCGAAGCCCCCAGGTATCCCAAGCGTCCCGAACAGTATTCTTAACCCCTGAACTGGATTTCTTTTCGAAAATCTCCATGCTTTCCAGACCCAAGCCTGGAAGGAGTACTACTTCAGTCCAACGGGAATCCACTGTTATCCGAAGATCTACAGCCATCCGGAGGAGGCTTGCTACGTGTGAAAAGGCTTTAGGGTCCATGTTGTACATACTCTGGGGAGCCTTGTGTGGGTATGTGTTGCCTATGCACCGTAAAGTAAGCAATCCTTAAAGAGGGATTTATGAAGGTGCTACTCCAACTGCTATTACATACTGTGGTAGGTGTCACCGTGTGCGGGAATGACCTAAGGTATATGGTAGACATTTGGGGCTCAAAAAGCTTTCCCGACTGCTGCTGATGCTACAAGGAGAATTTGCTCTGGCACGCATTAGCTTCTGGAGAAGTGTCCGTGCAAGTCTGCTCACGTCAGAGGTGTGGTGATAAGTTGGGTACCTTGCGCTGTACGGGCTGCGACGATTAATATGTCGCGTTCTCTGGAACCCTAATGGTCCAAGGACCAAAATATTCCAGTTTTTTTCTAAAATATTAATTGCATTCGGGCCCTAAAACCCGATTTTTTGGGTCCTTGGACCCTTAGGGGAAATGTGTGGTCTTGCTTTCTGTAGTGGCGGAGCCCAACGTAATCTACTTGAGCTATAGTTGAAACTCCTTGAAGGGGGTTATGTAAGGGATGAATTATATAGGGTTCAGGGTTTAGGGTTCCTATAATAGGGCTTACTAAGGGGGATACTGGGAGTTTAGACTATAGCTCACTTGACATTTTGTAGTAGGCTTCTCCGCAAGGGATTACTTTGCGTCGCTTTTCAAGTTAGGCGCTTGAGTCTTGGGACACAACTGCTAGATCCAGTAACCCTATAAACCTTCATCCTAATAATCCCATAGCCCTACATATGGTGAACTCTTTGATCTTCTGTATCGCTCAACACGCGGGAGCAGCCCAGACTTGCACGGCCGATAAAGAAACTGACATTGGGACTGCTCCACTTCGGGGCTTTGGTTTGGGCCCTTTTCAGGCATCGTTGCTATTTTGGTACATGTTTCTGGAAAGTTCTCCCAACTCGGGAAAAGCAAAATCACAGATACCAAGGACAGGGAGGTCTGCACCGATAGGGGAGGCCCAGTAAGCCCAACATGAGGATTTGTACTTTAGAACATAACAAGGCTCCTGATATCCTTTGATGGGATAATAGCTCCTCTCTTGAAGTTTAAGAAAAATTAGGGATCTTCGTATAGTTTAGGGTCTATTCCTTGATTAAAGTGTACTGGGCTCTCTAGGTATATGACTTGCTTGATACTTGCTAGTAGGAAATGGAGGCGTGGGTCCTCTAGCGATCAGCCCCTATAGAATACCCCTAAACCCATAGGGGTGTTTCCCCAAATTAGGGGTACCTTTTCGGTGGACCCCATACTAAGGATCAAATATATTGGGGTTTATATTGGGGTCCCCTATTTTTTGGAAAATACCATAGGATCCCGCATGCTGTGGTAGTTTCAAAAGTGCTGTTTCATTTCCCTTCCCTCGTTCTCTACTAACAGCCGGCAAGTTGATGGCTATGTGACTCCAATTGAGGCAAGGCTTCGCCGTATCAGTGCAGCTGTTTAGGGTTGAGGGAATAGTCAGGAATGTACCTCTAACCTGAATGGGGACGACGTAGCTTTCACCAGGTGATGTCCCATAGTCCCTTACAGATTACTGTGCTAGGTAGCATTAGTCATTCGCCATATAGCTATCTGGCAAGATAACTAGACCCTAAATGATTCAAGGAATCCCTGCACAAAGTAAGGTGTGCTTCTTAATCAAGGCGTACTGGGCTGTCTCGTTCCTCTGCTGTGCTCGTGCCAGCTTATACATCCTGATCCCATGTCTCATTCCACGACCCCTAGGGGTCCAAGTAACAAATAAATACAATATTTCTTTTTTGGAAGTAGTAGTAGTAGTAGTAGTAGTAGTGCAGGCTTTACAGGAAGTATGTGTATGCATATAGGACAATTTCGTACTTGGACTCGAAGCCCTAAGCCCTTGGACTCTGGGGTACTCAAACCGAATGTAATGATGTATGCCCCTAGATATCCCTACCTGTAGCTGATTTTAGGGTGACAGGATAGCATCAAGATTTGATTCTGGGAATGGGCGGCCTCACTGGGCTTATGTCAAGCAGAGGGACTTCATTGCGAGTTACACGGGATGCTTCAGGTATCCGTGCCATTTCCACCCTAAACCCTAAACCTCCTCCTGCCGCTCCCCAAGTACAGCCACCCAAAGAGGATCCTAAAAAGACTGCTCTCCCGGGTTTATAGGGTTTATAGGGTTTAGGGTATCGGGTTTATAGGGTTTATAGGATTTATAAGGGGTCCATAGAGAAGGAGGGCCCTCACCCTGTAGTAGTGATATTATAGGCTTCTCATAGGATGAGAAGAGGACCCTAATATGATCACCACCATGATCCTTTGTAGTCACTGTTACAGGGCGGTCCACCTAACCTATAAATGATGTTACATCCTTTCTTGGGGAGCTACAACAACTCTACCCTGGCCCATGGTTATAATTCCTTAACCTCAACGATAACTCCAGAACAAGAAAGAGTTCCAACGCTTGAGATTTTAAGCCTTGGAAGCTCGAAGCGAGAAGCTCTGAACGCCAGGGCGTCACCAAGATCTTCATCGGACTCAGCGAAGCGCCTGCCCAGCGAATTTGCTTGGGCACAAAGCTTCTCTCCCTCAAACAAACATGGAATTTCCCTTGCAAGGTTGCTTCGTTGCAATTGCGACTTTATAATGGATATCCTGGGTTTGGGAGAGGGTAGGGCAAAACCTTAAGCTCTAAACCTAACATCCAGTCCTTGCACTCCTTAGGCGTTGGGTTCAAAGCTTCATACGTATCCTGCGGGTTGAGGGGTTGTGAGTGCTTTGGGTTTGGGCTCGGAGGTTGGGACTTTGGGCTTATGATTAGTGGTTAGGACTGCTGCGTTAGGTGGGGGTAGGGAATTTAGGTGTTAGGGTTTACATTTTGAGGCTCGAGTTTGGGGTTCGGTTGTTAGGTTCAAGGATGTCAAATTTGGGGTTCAAGCATGTCCAAGCAGTTGCATGCATTGAATGTGGCACAACACTTTCACAACTTCCGTTCTCCTGGTCTTTCTTAGCAAGAGAATACCAGGTGTTGCGGATGCACAAAGTTTCATGCAGCCTGAATGCTAGAGCCGTACCCTAAACCCTATACCTGGAAGGCAGGATGAGAATGCCCCAAGAGATCATATTTGGGTACATGATACACGGGGCCCAAAAGGTTCCCATTTAGTTAGCTTTAGGTAGGTACAAAATAAGTGCGTGGAACCTTGCAGATAGGGGTCTGGGCAGTCACCTGTTCATCTGAGACTTATGGTCTCCCTTAAGTAGATAGACTATGGCTTCGGGTATATTTTAATAAGATCCCCATATACCCCATATTCTATCTACTTGAGGGGGACTATAGTCTCAAGGCCTCAAGCACCAATTCTCTGGCACGCAAAAAGGTGATCAAAGAAGAACTGTGCTGTTCATGTGGGCACGTCCAGAGATTAAGGCCCCATTTTAGAAGTCCCTACAGAGTACAGACTCGTATATTGGGGTCCAGCTTAGTGGCCCCCCATTTCTGGAGATCTGCGTGGTCGCAATTTGCAGAAGCCATATTGTGCAAGCTTGACATGAGGCAAGACAGAACAACACGTTCAGTAACAGCCGAAAATCAAAGTGCAATTGCCAAACCTTGTGTTTCAATATCTGCAACTAATATCGAAGCACTCTAGCTTCACACCGTTTTACCAGAACCTCGAAACACTGCCTTAAACCCTAAACTTCACGTGCCTAAAGCCCCACACCCGCAGTGCCTTGAACTCCTGTTGTGGCAAAGATGCGTAAACTGCCTTGCCTGTAGTTATCCCTATATAATTCCTTACAGAAATCTTTACAACGCGATTCCCCTCATTCTCTACGAAGCACCAGGTACGATTGATTTTCAACATCTGCATGACCCTGAGTACCGTAAAACCTTGGAATCATGTTGCTATAGTATACGTACTTAGGTCACGCAGGATATTACCCTAAACCCTACACCCAACACCCTGAATCCTAAATAAAGACCAGGTAGTAGACCTTTCTGTCAAAGCCCCTAAACCCAAAACCCTCCACCATGGCGGGACAAGCTGTATTCGGCTTTGGCTCGAACAGTGTGCGGCAGCTGCCAGGCTATCATTAACTTGGTCTAGGGCCTGGGAGTTGAGGGTTTAGGGATTAGGGTTCAGTTGTTTAATGTGAAGGGTCTAGGGGTTTAGGGCTGTAGGGGTTTAGGCTTTGGAGATTAGACAAGCGTAAAAGGGTCGTGGGGTACAGGGTTCAGGCTGTGTTGTTTATTCAGCCTTTACTTGCAGGCAGAACTGGTGGCCGTATCGGGTGTGCTCCAAGCATATGTAGGACTACAATACCTGTCGCATGTGATGAGCAAGTGGGCCCCAAACACGTTAGTTCAGGGACATACCGCAAATTATACTAGGATCCTATTCGTATGACTTCAGGAATCTTTAAGTAAGGTAACCTCCTTAATCTCTTCAACCCCCTCAAAACCTAAAACGGCTGCACCTTTGAGAAAGCTCCAGTCTGGGACTCTCCCGAACTAGAGGCTGTAGAGGAACCCCTCATGCCTAACCCTTGATCCTGCCTAGAGAAACTAATGCAACCATAGAAAAGCTTTGTACCTTTTTTTCGTATCTTTAGCCCACCGTCTCAGCCTGAAAGACCTTCACGTGTTCTGGTACACGGCTTAGAGTTTAGGGCCTACCTTAGACCCAACAGACCTACAACTTTAGGACTCTGTAGTATAATTCTTAGTATCAAGCATCAAAACTGAAAGTCTTTTGGCTCTAAGGTATGACTAGGTGCACTTCACACTTTTGAAGCCGCACTTTGCTCTCCTGCGGCCTGCACAATCCTGGAAGCCCGGGTACCTGAACAGAGGGTACCTGAACAGAGGGTCCCTGAGTTCTATACAGAGACTCGAGAGCAGCAACTCAAAGATTTCACAGCTAACGGGGGCTTCTGGGACTCTTTTTTGCTTTGTATGTCTGTTTGTCTAGGGAACAGTTAAACGTTGTATCCTAGTGGCAATTAGGATGCCTGCAAAACCTGTAATTAGGATGCCTGCAAAACCTAAGCTAGCAATCCTAGACTTGAAGATCCTGTAAATGTAAAGCCCGATTTAGGGTTTAGGGCCCCTGCCTTACGTATAAACCTCAAATAGACCCTTCAAACTCTAATAAGCCCCTAAAACCCCTTTAATTCCTTCTAAGCCCCGAACCTTAAACCCTTACCCGAGAGACTTACAGGCCCAAAGCCCTAAACCCCAAATTATAATCCTAGATCCCAAACCCTAAACCCAAAATCCTAAATCGTAAGCCCTAGCCCCTAAGCCTTGTGCCCCTACATCTTTGAGGCTGCGAGGACGCTTGGAGGATCCAGAGCTTTCTGGCTCCTTGGCCTATTCTTTTCCCCATAGGGATAGGGTTTAGGGCTTGGTGGTTTAGGGTTTTTAAGTTCAGGGTTTAGGGTTTTGGGGCGTAGGATTGAAAGGCTAAGGGTTCAGAGTTTAGGGTTTAGGCTTAGGTTTCAGGGTTGAGAGCTTGGGATTTATGGTTCAGGGATTTGGGAAATGTGACTGGAGGAGAACTTGCACGATCGTATACCCTAGGAATGAAAGTATACATTGGGTACGGCTTCAACCCAGTAGCATATATTAATTTCTAGGCGCGAATGATAACAGCGTAGGCCCAGGGCATGGGGCTAAGTGCTTAGGGTCTAGGCTTCAGGCTTGTAGCGGTCTGACTATTTTGGTCTGGGTATGGCTCGAAGTAGGAATGTCTTATTGATCAGTTGTTGGAAATGCGTTTTGTTCTGCGACTTTTATTGTCACTGAGAGCTCTCCGGCAAAAATTAGCAAGTTTTTCTTTGCAAGATTTAGGGTCCGGATTTTGGTGCCCGGGGTCGCGTGTACATGGCTGTGTGTGTTGGGTTTGGTTGTACAGTTAAAAGTAAAGGGGCTTCGCATATGCGCTCAGTAGGGCGCGCTTCATGGACTCGGTAAGTCTCATCGACTCAGGACTTGCGAATAGGAATTGAGCGCGTTGATTTTTGGGGCACAGGGCTAGAGCCGTGGGATTTTTGACTTTTGGCATAGGCTTTCTCCACACCTATAAATCAGGCTTGCTCGGCTTGCTCAACATCTATAGATCAGGCTGATTTTCGGGGCTACTCTAATTTGCCTTCTTTCTTCTCAAAGTTTACTTGCAAGATTCAGTTTCTTTGACTACCCACTATGTTGGTGATGGGTCTTTCACTTCTCCGTTTCGCAGGACCCGCCCCAGATTATTTTCGGGAGCGGAAAGTGGAAAGAGGCCTGCTACGAGGCCATGAACAGCAGCTTAAGAGACCTAGTATGCTTTAGACAGGCTGCTGGTGTGTATTAAATGGAGATTCTGCTTGGAAGCGGGATTTTATGGAAATCTGTGTTATGGGATAGAAGGAAACTGATAGGTTACATAGGGAACAGACTGAGAGACGGCAGCATGCTCAGAGTTTGCTGGAAGAGGCGGAGTCTTAAGAGCCCTTGCAACTTGGGCCTGATGACTTCGTTTTTAAAATGCACGCCCCTGTGTTGTTTAAAGGGTTTTTCCGCCAAACCCTAACCTACACTCTGACCCTATAGACCTAAAACCCTTGACCCCCATTCCCTGCCAAGCTTTCCTTGAGCCTGAATGCGAAAGGAAACCCCAGTCCACCTGTGGCTCAGCTGTTTAGGTTTAGGTTTAGGATTTAGGGTTAAGGTGTAGGGTTTAGATCCTACGCTCTCAAGCCACAGACCACAGGATCCCGGCACCCAGCAATTGCAGTGAAGCCTCTAAGCGTCCTACCTGGGTAGCTTGTGGCCACATAATTAGCTGCAGACATACTTGTGCCAATGTCTGAATCCTACACCCTGAGCCCAAGGCCCTAAACTGTAGACCCAACACTCGTAACTTAAGACCCTGTATATCTTCTTTTTTTATGTCTAGAATCCCCGTTTCAAGGGACCCGTATTTGCTACTAAGCCCTGAACCCTAAACCCTGAACCCTCAACTCCAAACCCTAAATCCTCATCCCTCGTCCCCAGGCTTTCCTGGCCGTATCCGCGAATATGCTCTGGCCTTCTGCGGACCTAACAGGACCTGGGCCAGAGACCCTGGGACCTGAAATTGAAAAACTTACTGGTTCTTAGTAGGGAATATGAGGGTATACTATAGAGGGATTATATTCCCTCATTCCCTACTAAGACCACGCCAGTAGAGACTGCAGGGTATCGGGTTAGAGAGGTTAGGGCATCGATAGCCGACAAACTTGACCTACAAGTACCCCAACATACAATCTCAAAAATGGTACTGCAAAGACCGTCGTCCATGTAAAAAGGTGTCATCAGGGCGTCCATCTAGGTTGGGGGGATGCCAGCCCTAAGCCCTAAACCCTAAACCCTACACCTTAAACCCCAGTCTCTAAACCCTAGTTCTTAAACCCTAAGCACTGCACCCTAATCGCTTGCTGGCGTTCTGTCAAAGTTTAAAGTCCCGCGCAAGCGCATGTGTTCCCTAAATCCTTAACCCTAAACCGTTTGGTCATTTC